GCGAAGTTCGCTTTCAAGCCTTGTCCTGGTTTGCTCGACTATTATTGCTTTAAATAACGTAGCCTCAAGGCGTAAATTCCCGAAATAGACATATGCGCTATCGAAAACTGGTGCCGACAATTCCAATTTGACTTCCGGGCGCACGGCTTTTCTCACTTGCACAGAAATATCCAACTTTAGTTTCCCGACATCCATTTTACTCACGAACTAAAATGTTAGCATGAATGGTCTTTAAAATAAAAAGGCCAGATGAGCCGGTAAATCGACTTTAGGATGACTACATTGCCCTTAAAAATTGGTACTCAATGCGTGATAATTGTGGAAGCTTTCGTTAGCTTTACACTTAAGGAAATGCCTAGAATATCTGGCTTTGAATGTTTCGTGATGTGGGGATTTAGGTGTCCCGCTAGTGTGATGGTAACGTAATTCTGTAGGCTGCCAGTTTTAGAAGGAGGAGAAAGAAAAGGAGATAAGATTACTATGATAAAGTGTGGAACACTCACCGATTCGGGTGGAGATAATGTCATCCGAGTTGCATTGATACAAACACGGAGGGTATAAACGACCTCTCCATTGACCAAAGCCTCGTGAAATGCGAAGGGACACGAGCGAACGAGGCTTTCAACAGCTTCAACTTGGGTTTTTTCAGTATGTGTAACTAAGTATTCCGGCGCGTCCACCAAAGCGCTATCAATTACGGACTCCATAGTGGAGCCTGTGCCAGTTGTGTCAACAAAAGGAAATTTGTAACTCACTATAAGCGAGAATGGCGACCGGCAGAAGCGTCACCAGTAGTATGATGCTACTGAACTGGAAGTACTGCATGTCAAAGTCCTATATTTCTGCTTTGCTTTATTGTCTCCAGCTTTTATATTTCTTTTGTGTCATGAGGCCGGTCTGACAGGTGGTAAATTGTTGATCCGAAGAGAATGGTTAAAGACTTGAAGGTCATAGCAGATGGCACCATAATCGCGCTTGTTGGCTCGGTTCCATGGCAAACCACGTGCAGTGCGTCTGAAAAGTGGGCATGCAGGCACGACCTACAGCGCAAGTAGTAGGGATAAAATGTTAAGAATTTTAATAAGAATAATAAAAATAAGTAAAAAAGGTAAGTGAAAAGTAAACATTGGGTTGGCGCCAATTGGACTTCGCAATAATTTAGAGGTATGCGAGAAAAGGAATGATGAATGGAAGTAGAAAAATGAGAGACATCCGGGTAAAGCATATAAAGGCAAGGCGGGGACACACACCATCTTAACCCCTCTGTTCTGAGTCTTCACATGCTCAGTCCACTGCAGCATGCGGTCTTCTTTCCCCCTCTGCTTAGACCATGGTATGCAGGGACAGAAAGGGGCCGGTTGTGTAGTTGCATCGGCTTTATTTATCATCATGGCCAATGTAATGTTTCCAGTCTCCTCCAACGTAGCAATAAGTCCAAGTAGTGTAAAAAGGAAAATTATTAAGGCAGAGGAAAATGTGGGAGCCACAACACAGACGTAATTCCATGCTCCAGACTGGAGGCACATTCCGCAGAGATTCAAGTGCTAGCATATCTTGACGCGTGGTTGAGGGGTAGACTATATCAACGCAATAGCTTTTGCTAATGGTTTTTTTGTATAATAACTTATTAATTAGTTCTTGAAATCGGCTAACTTTAAATAGCACTTGTGCTTAGAGCTTATGAATTTTGCAGTTTTAAGCACGAACTAAATTATTCGTATTAATGTGTCGTCAATCACACAGTCACACCTATTGTTGAATGCATCTTTGCAGACCGACTGGCAGCATAGACTTGCATAAGCCTTGTGCCATGGCTAACGTTCGAGATATCCGAATGAAGACGGAAGGCAGAGGTGCTCAGCAGCAGCGATCCCGACGATTTACTAACCACTACTTAACTACACACATCTC